TTAGGGAACTTTTTGACAGTGTGGACTAAAACAAATATACACCTACTCTGTCACCAGTTCCACTCCTGGGTATATACCAGTTCTTGTCTTAGTTCCTTTCTTGTCACAGAGACACAGTACCCATACCCATGACTTACAGGTGGAAAGGTCTATTCTAATTCATGTTTCAGACCATAGGCAGCTGGCTCCAAAGCAGGACGGCGTGGCAGAGGGGCATTCGGAGACGTTGCTCTTGTCCTGGTAGCAGGGAAGCAAAGAGAATCAAAGGAGGAGCCAAGACAGGAGACGTACCCTTCCAAGTCAGGTGCACAGTGACCTGCCTCTTCTGACCAGACCCCACCTTTCAATGGCAAACCAGATAAACTGCCCTCTGATCCAATCATCTCCCAAAAGCCCCACCCACAAGCACACAAAGCTTTATGGGTGGGGACATCTAGATAAAAACATAACAATATTCAAACGAATAAAGGCATGTGTCCACCAAAAGACATGGATAAAAAGGCTCATAGCAGCTTTATTTATCATAGTGTAAACCTTAAAGAAACTCAGATATCTATCAATTGTAAAACAGATACTACACAGAAGGAAAAACCACATGAATTCTACAGACATGCCATTGAGTGAAAGAAGCTAGATGCAAACTAGTACACACAATGAGTCCATTTTCAGGAAGGTCAAGCAGACAAAACTAATCTACAGAGACAAAGGTCAAATAGAACCTGGCCATAGTGGCAGAAGGAATAGATAGAGAAAGCCCAAGAGAAGTGTTTATATGTCTCTTAGTCTAGGTGACGATTAGCTGGATGTGTGTGTATATGTGTGTGTGTGTGTGTGTGTGTGTGTGTGTGTGTGTATAGATACAGTGTTACCAAGATGTAACCTTAGCCAGGGATTTAGCTCAGCAGTGTAAGTGCCTGTTTGATAAAGGTGAGGTCCTGAGTTTGATCCCCGGTACCCAAAAAAAAAAAAAAAAAAAAAAGATGTAACCTTAATATTTGTATACTTCACTGTACTGAAGTTATTCATCAACAACAACAACAACAAAAGTAAACATACAACTTGAGCATCAATGACAATTAAGTCGAAAAGGCTATACCCAAGAAGGGAGTCCTTACACAATTTTTAGAAGTGAAATGTTCAAACTAGTCGAAAAGTGTTTTGAAACCAGAGGCACAATGTCCCTCCCTATTCTAACCTGTCCTGTATAGCTTGGAGAACAGGCTGGCTGGGGTTTTTGTCAGAAGTTCCCCCAGGTATTTAGCACATACTTCCTGCACACCTGGCTGAGAATCACTGCTTTAATTCATCAGTGGGCCACAAGTGAGACACTGCCTGGTATGTGCAGAAACTAAAACTTCTATGAGTCTCCTTTCTCTGGGGATGTTCACTGCTGCTCTGTCATTTCCCCTCCACTGGCCTACAATATGAACTGTTGAACTTAAACACAAGGCTTTTGTTTCTATAGTCTATGCCTTGTTGTTGCTTTGGGACATTCTGTGACTTCTGAGATTTGAACAGTTCTTTTTTTTTTTTTAATTTCATGCATTATGTTCTGTGACCTATGACAAAATCCCCGGTTAAGCCCCATGTCTAGTCCCAGTTTAATCAGGAAATGAACTTAAGTAAGCACCTTAGGGCCCAGAAACATGCAGTTTTACTGACCTCATTCCATGGAAAACATCTGTAACTGTTCCCTGAATGATGTGTAGCATTAGCTTACCAGAGAACCCATTAAGGTTTCTGCCTGCATTCCTTGGGAATTTGTAGGAAAGAGCTGTCTGTGTGAGCTCAAAATATTAATATTGCCACTCAGAGACTTAGTAAAGATCGAAAGGGGGCTTCTCTTGCATTGAAGGATATTCTTCAAAAAGAATTGCAGAGTATAGAAACAGCTGGATAAGTTTAAAAAAGGACAAGAAAACTAAGTATAATTAATTATCATAGGAATGAATATTTTTATAGATTGCCTACATAAAAATTGCCCAAGAGAATTAACTGCTCAGCAAACTTCTGAGTATCCATTGCCAGCTCTATTATAGTTTCATTCCTGAAGTCACTCAGCACTGCTCAACAGACCTTTGTGCAGCAAAGCTAGTGTTCTTCAGCTGTGCAATCCAATATGGTACCCACTGGCCACAGGTGACAGCTGAGAACCTGACACTCAGATATGGCAGCAGAGGCATTGCTTTTTAAATTTTATCCGAGTGTAAATAGGCATATGTAGCAACTGTAGTGGACAAAGCAGGACTACACAGTAAGTATAATCCGCCTCTTAGATGATCTCATATTTTTCCTTCACACCAAAGGAAAATCTGGATCCTGGGTCATTTTTATTTTTCAGAATTTTAACTAATTTCTTTTCAGTACCAGGGAATGAACCAGAGCCTTCATAGTGAGCTACATCCCCAGCCCCTTTTAAATGTTTTTTTTTTTTTTTTGGAAGTGAGGTCTTGCCAAAGCAATAAATTGCTGAGCTGGGCTTGAATTTATGGTTTTCCTATCTCAGCCTCCCAGCTGATTAATTTCTTTCTCTCCTCCTCAGGACAGGGCTCATGAGAAATTTGGTGTAATGTCCCTAAAAAGCTGCACTAACAGTATCCAAAGTGACTTCTGGTTTATAAACTAACCCCTTCAGGTTGATCCCTTCAGGGTACAACTGTTTCAGGGTTGTTTTTTGTTTTTTTCTAATGGTAAGGATTGAATCCAGGGCCTCATGCATGCTAAGCAAACATTTAACCACTGAGCTACACCCCCAGCACAACACAATTGTTTTGACAAACATTAGATATTTAAGAATTGAATGTTACAAGTCTAATCACAAAGGAAGTATTCTTATTAGGTAACTGTTTAAAACCAGAGATTGTTGATCTGAAGACCTATAGTATCTGTATTTTAAGTGGCTGTTTCCAAGGAAGAGGAAGAGTACTCTGAAAACGAACTCAAAAAGTGACAATGGGAAAAGAAGAGAAATACCACTGTCTTGTTAAGTTAAATAAGTAGGAGGTTACCAGCCTGAGACTGTCTGTACTTTGAGCTCCTTCATAAGGGCAGTAACCTAACCCAGTACATAACCTGAAAACCTAACCTACAAATATAATAAATAGCCATGTCTCAGCCAATCACAAGTAGTTAAACTTCAGCCAATCACAGTCTGCCAACGGATCAAACTGTGTCCAAATAAGGCAAATGCAAAGCTGCAATCAATCAACCTATTTCTGTGGAGTACTTTATTTCCATTATCTATAAATACTGCATATGGAGCTACCTGAACCTTTTCTGGTTCTCTGAGCACTGTCCAATTCACAATTTGTTGTTTGCTCAAATAAACTCTGCTAAATTATATCGTCTGATGTGTTTAACAGACAAAAATAAAAGTTGACTAGGATCCTTTGCTGGCCAAACTTTAATCACACTCCTATATCTTTTCCTAGAGCTGTCTGCACACTTTCTTTTAAGACTGAGTTTTAGCAAAAGTGCCGCTAAATTACTGTGCTAAATGATAAACCAGCTGTAACAGGAGGAGAAAGCAGTCTAAGCATAATAGGCAGTCCACAGACAGGCTAGGTTAGGGGTCAGGAAACCAGGTCTCATGACAAAGTCAGGAAAGGTAGCCATCTGTGGTGCAAGTAATCAGGAGAGCTTCTTAGAGAAGGTAAGTACATCAGGAAAAGTAAAAGCCCATCAACATAAAACAAAAGAAAACAACCTCCCAGGGCTGGGGATTTAGCTCAGTGGTATAAGCGTCTGCCTGGCAAGTGTGAAGTTGTGACTTCAATCACCGGTACAAAAAAAAAAAAAAAAAAACCTCCCACCTTCAGATGATGCCTGATTCAGGCCTGTTTTCACCAACAATTTTATTAGGTCAGTTTAGCCAGAATCCCCCTCATCTGTGATGTTTCCTCTTGGTAGTTTTCCAACTACCCCTCTGACTCCATTCATTGGTTATAAATTCCTATTTGCCAGTGCCATATTTGGAGTTAGGCCTGATCTCCCTCCCCTAATGCAAGACCCCGTCATAATGCTCCCAATATCTATTGTTAAAGTCTTCCTTATCATGCTTTAACAAACATCGTGGTATATATTTTTTTCTTTAACAAGATATGACCTTTAAGTGGCAATTGTATTAAAGTTTACAATAGCAAACATTTTATTACTGTAATTGTTTAAAGGCCACAGAGAAAAAGAAAAGCAAACCCCAACAGTTCTAAGTTGGGTGAGCAGGCACAGCAGGACCTCTAATTTCACAGAACATCAGCATCACACAAAGCAGTCTATGACAGTGACGGGTCACGAGAAAACAAGATTCCTTTATAATCATGCTGTGATGCTGACAAAAATGTAAACATTGTCCAAACTACACAAACTATGATCAAGCATCCTCTATCCTGACCATTGTGACAGTCACTGGTCTTGTTCTCCCTCCTTCTAGCTAAGTCTATCACACTTCTCAGTCACAGAATTACCCAGGATCCAAGCCAGAAAACTTGGTTTCCTTAAAGCTTTCCGTAAATTATCTTGAAGTACAGGATCAGCAAAGGAGAATCTCACATTCTCTACTTCACTGTGAGTTTCCTGACACCTTGCAGGCAAGGGCCATGCATAGCTGAGATGTTCAGGGTGCGCCTGACTGCTTAATATTTACTACTTTAATTAACCGAACTATGCTACTCTGCAATCAACGCTTGTTGGATTACTTTATGCCCACAGTTATTTTAAAATCTAGCTAAGCAACGGTCACAACTATCTTAACAGAAAGCAGAAAGGATAAACTGTATGGCAGTTTAACAAACTGCTGCTAAATAAAAACATCAGCATCCGGTTTGGTTTCACTTTCGGCCCTAGCGAGTCTCAACCCCTCCCTCAGGGAAACCGCAGAGGGACCGCCCCACAGCCACAGATCGCTCTGCGCAGGCGCTATTTCCTTAATACGCATGCGCTACCCCAGGCTTGCTTTCTCGGATGGAAGGATTGGATTGGTTGCCTGTTCTGGCCTGGGAACCGGAAGTTTTCTCTGGACAGGGAGGGGCTGAGGAAGCAATGGCTGCGCCGGCCATGTTCCGGGTCTGTGTTTCCAGCTGAAGGTCATCTCCGGTAGAGGAGGCTCTCTGGTGTGCTGTGGGACGGTCAGGGCCTATTCTGTACCTCCTCCTTTCCAGCCGAGTTCGCCGGTGTGGGCCGACCTTTGCAGCCCCTGTGCTGACTTCCAGGCCTTAATTCCGGGACGGCTAACTGCAAGTTTTGCTTGGGCGCTCGGCCCCTCCCACCGGAACTCGTTCCCCAGCCTAGGTGGGGCCGTGGGCGGTCCTTCCCCCTTGCTGAGGCTTTCCTTGGGATCCTCATTGGGAAAGGGGCCTAGTGAGGTGTTGCCACGCACCTATCGCCATTGGGCATCATTTTTTTCTGTAGAAGAGCCTCCTTATCAAGGTGGAGAGTTTGATACGGGTTAAACCTACAAAGATAAAATTTTCAGTAGGTTTTAAAAAATGCTAAACCAATCTGGATTACTGCTGAACTGGATTATCAGTTTAGGAGATTTTCACTTTGATCTTTTCATGTTTCTCAGGGTTTAGACTACTTTAGTGCAAATGTGTGAACCTTACCAGTAAATTAGTTTTTATTGACAAGCTTTTATATACACTGTGTAAGCAACTATTTAAGGTCTACTCTTGCTGGCACTTTGAACAGTTTTCTTTTTAAAATATGTATTCAGCAGGTAGAGGTACAGGTGTATATCTGAGCATTACCCACTTTAGCATGTTTTCTAAAACTGCTGTCCAGTAAGGTAGCTACTGGTTCCAGAAAGCTTGAACACTGAAAATATGGCTAGTCAGAACTGATGTGACCTATAAGTGTAGCAAATTTAGGGGAAATTCGTATTTTAAAAACCCTCAATTTTTTATATGAGTTACATATTGAAAAGACAGTATTGGGGGCCAAGGAGATGTAGTTCAGTGATAGAATACGTGCGTGGTCCTTTGTTAAATCCGCCGCACCATATTGATAAAAGGAGAAAGAAAAGACAGTATTTTGGATGCACTAGGTTACCATAACGCATAATTATTTTATGAATATGTTGTATTTATATATAAGTACATAATATTAAATATGTATCATATTTATATTAATCATGTAATTTATGTGTGTATATTTCTATTTGCATATATCTGTAAATGTTTATAAATATATGTTTATTATGTAATATATAACTAATATATTTATATTGTTAATATAGAATTAATTTATTATTTCCACCTAGTTTTGTTTTTAAGCTGTCCACTGAAAAATTTGCGTCTGTGACTTGAGATATATTTCTCTGAAGTAACACTGATCTAGAAGGGATTAACATAGTGGCCTGCAGCCTGCCTGTGTTTGTAGCAAGTTTTATTAGAACCAAGTCATGCCCATTCATTTGTGTGTTTTCTTTGCTGTTCCTGCTCCAAGAACATCAGAGTTGAGTAATCCATGCAGAGCTTGTGTGGCCTGCAGAGCCTGAAATACTCGGTCTGACCTTATACAGATGTTCACCCAACCCCTGCTCTAGGATAGTAGATATTTTTATACCTATTACTCATAGACCCATCTAATTTTCAGTCAGGCTTATTATGTGATGTGCATAGTTCCAAGTACTTTATAAAGACCATCTCATTTAATTCCCGTATTAGTCCTGGGATACTTGATATCCCCATTTTGTAGATGAAGAAACTGAGGCACATGGTAATGATGAAACTTAGCCAACTTGCTCATTTCATTTCATTTCTAGAAACTATTATGCAAAAGGCTTGAGTTCTCTAACCCACTTGCTTACCATGCAGTGGACACCATGGTTTGCTTTGATCTTGAAATTCTAGAGTTAGAATTGAGATGGACTGGTGGTGCATGCGTATAATCTGAGCTCTAAGGAGACTGAGGCAGGAGGATCACTGTGAGTTCGAGGCTAGACTGGGATACACGGTGAGTTCAAAGTTTACCAGAACTACATAACAAGATCCTGACCCAGAGAGAGACAGAGACGGGGAGGGGAGGTTTGCTTCCCAGAGAAGAGGCCGAGTGGCACTGGGCTTAAGTGCAGTGAGCACAAGCAAGCCAGTCTGTAGTGAAAAGAAATGAAGCTCACAGCAGAGAGAAGAGAGCAGACCCTGCATGCTTGCCACTTGTTTAACAAAAGAAAATATTAGTTGAGTAATAGTAAGCACTGGCCAGATGTGTATGGTGAATAAAATAGATTTGCTTATTCCCTTATGGTCTTGTGGGGAAGGCAGACAAAAAAAAATGTTTTTCAAAATGTGATGGACATCATGGAAAAAGCACTGTGTAATTATTTGATGTTTTAAAAGGTTTTGCTCACTTGGAAGATGGTGCTAAGCTGTATAAGTGTCTCAAGCTTGTTATGCAGATGGAGATGACATGAGTGTGTATGGCTTGTCGACTTGCTCAGTACTGCCATCGTCAAGAGGTAAGCAAGCAAGTGGAGCTCAAGAATTCTATGCATTGTGACACTTAAAACATTACAGTATCCATTTGTAATTTGTAGAGGTTCTCAGGTGGGTTGTACAGGGCAATATTTCAATGTTTTCTGATTTAGTTAAGACTCACCTAGCAAAATCCAAAGTCAGGTTCTGTTCATTTGGTCGAGGAGCGAGACTGCAGATGTCTTTGGGCCTGATGGCAGCCTGTCTAGGAGTTGTGTTTTGGGAACATCAGGGTTGGGGTTGTGCTTGTATGTAGTTTTAAGTCCAAATCAGCTGGAGAATTGAACAAACCTCCAGGCCCTACCCTCAGAAACCCTTGTTCATTCTAACTGAGGCTCTAGTATTGTTTTGTTTTCTTACTATTTTACTCTCAGATGGTTCTAATGTACAGGCAGAGTTGAGAACCAGCCAGACAGAGACAGAAACAGACAGAGACAGACTGACTGACTCAGGGAGCAGTTGTAGCAATAACACAGAGCTGTGAAATAGGTATTGCCCATCGGGAGTTGAGAGTAGTCGTGGAGGAGTCCTGGGGGCATTTTTCATCACCTGGCCGAGGATCTTGGGCTGTACCCTACAGGCAGAGGGGCACCTTTGAAGGGCTTGAAGCAGGACAAGGAGAGACTGTCTCACAGAGTTCTCTACTAGAGGGTCGTCTCTCTGACAGAGTGCCAGCAGTTGGGGTGAAGGCCGTGCAAGAAGCAATTGCAACTGGTCAGATGGTGGAAAGCTCAGCATGGTTAGGAATCCACCTCCTATGCATTGTGATTGGCCAGTTTCTTGTTATACCCACCCAGCTGTTAGCTCCTTTGAGGCCAGGACTCTTTAGGCTCAGCACCTGGCACATTCCAGCTACATGATAAATATTTTTTTAATCGGTACCAGGTATCAAACTCACAAATGCACGTTTGCAAGGCAGGTGCTTTATGCTACTGAGCTAAATCCCCAGCCTTACATGATAAATATTTGTTGAGTGAATTATATAAAATTAAAATAGATATGCAGCTTACTTTGTCCTTGGATGGCTGTTCTCAAGATTCTGTGTCCCCCTGGCTTCCCTGTGACAACCTTTTAGACAGTAAGTACTTTATACTCACATGGTTCTTTCAAAGGAAAATAGAAAGTTCGATAGGATTTTAAGTGTTATGAAAAATATGAAAGAGGATGGCAAAGCAGTATGCAGAATCCTTAGAATCTTAAAAATAGAATTAGCATCTGATCCAGCAATTCTACTTCTGGTGTAGTCTCAACAGAAGTGAGAACAGAGACTTGAGAGAAGTGAGAACAGAGACATCCGTGTTCATAGCAATGTTATTCACAGCATCCAAAAGGCAGAAGCAATCAACAGATGAATGGAGGGCTGGGGGTTTAACTCAGCAGCACAAGCCTGCCTGGCAAGCACAAGGTTGTGAGTTCAATCCCTAATACAAAAAAAAAAAAAAAAAAGATGAATGGATAAACAAAACATGGCCCGAACACACAGTGGTATGTTGTTTCGGCTTAAGGAAGGAAATTTGGACACATGTTGTACATGGATGAACCTTGAGGATCAGACGTGAAATAGAATAAACCAGACCCAAAAAGAGAGGCACAGTATGATCCCCCTTCTGTGAAGTCCAAGAGTAGTGCACTCCTTAGGGATGGTAGCTGCTGGGGCAGGGAACCGGAAGTTGTTTAATGGACACAAAGGTTTAGTTCTGTGGGATCAAGAGTTAGAGGGCTGTGCAGGGATATGAATGTGCTTAACACTGCTGAGCTCTACACGTCAAAAGGGTTAAAATGGTAAATTTCATGTTTTATATGTTTTGCCACAGTTAAAATTTTTAAATAAATGTAAAGAAAAGTCAAATAAAACATATGAGAGCTGGGAGTGTAGTTTAGTTGTAGAACACTTGCCTAGCATATGCAAGGCCCTGGGTTCCACCCCCAGCAGCTCCCCCCCCCAAAAAAAGGCAAAGAAAACAGGTTAAGTGCTTCTTGGTTGTTTACATATGAATACATTAACTCCTTACATTCATACGAGTAAAGCAAAAGTTTTGCTGATAAGACCAACTATTGCTTTCACACCCATGAAAGCCTGAAGCTGCAGTTAGAACCCCCCTTCACATACACTGGCCCTCAGCTGAGAAACTGTGACTTGCTGGTTGCTATGTGCAGTCTAGGTCTGTCCCTTACTAGCCACCTTTCAGAAATGTTGCAAATCTCACTCCTGATTTCTTTAGCACCAGTGCACAGAGCACAGGTGATTGTTGCTCTGTGCAGAAACTTTCCAACAAGTGGGGCAAGGCTCAAGTGTCCCAAGCAGCTTGAAACCTGTTATGTGGCTCGACTGCTTGACTTTTGCAACATCTGAAGTTCCCACTTACAGAAATGCTTGGCTATTGAGGGGATGTGCTTTTTATATTTCTGTGCTATCCTGTATTTTGTTATCTAGCTTTTGATTCATTTTGTTTTGCTTTGCTTTGTTTTGTTTCTTTTTTCAAGACAGGGTCTCACTAGCCCACGCTGGTCTTGACCTCACAGCAATCCTCCTGCCTCAGCCTCCCAAGTGGTAGGATCACAGGTATGCCTTTGGTTCTTAGGGAGAACTCTTTTACTTTTTTGCAGGCTCTGAAAATAGAGTTTTCAAAAGGAAAAGGAGTGAACTTTTAAGTATCCATTTTCAATAATTATACACATTATCTGAAGATCCTGAATTGATGGTCCACTGAGTGACTGTTAAAAGAGTAACTATGTAAGTTTGCGCCATAAGCCGGGTGTGGTGGCTCATGCCTGTAATCCCAGCACTTGGGAGGCCGAGATGGGAGGATTGTTGTGAGTTCGAGGCGAGCCTGGGCTACAAAGTGAGCTTGAGGCCAGTCTGAAGTGCATAGCGAGACCCCCATCTCAAAAAAGACAAAAAAAAAAGTTTTCTCCATAACAGTATAAAACATTGCAAGCCTCAGACTCTCAGGTATCCTTGAACTACCCCTACAGGGAAACAGCAGTAAGTAAGAAGCTCAAAGTTGTGGCCAGGACTACGTAATCTCTGTGTCTAGGGACAGAGTTTAAGGGGACATTCAGGTATTTGAGATTCAGTAATCACCTTTTGAGATAATGAATGCAGGTCTGAGTACAAAGTGGCAGGTGCTGTAACCACTTTTAAGAGACCACCTTCTCCTTCCAGAGGGAAGGTGGTGGTGACTGATCTGCTTCCCATGCTGTTTTTCTTTTCTTTTCTGTTCTTTTCTTTTCTGTTCTTGGTACCAGGGATTGAACTTTCAACCTCTCGAATGGCAGGCAGGTGCTTGTGCCGCTGAGCTAAATCCCCAGCCGCTCTGTGCTGTTTTTCGATACACAGGTATCTCCAATGTATGTAATTGATAAAGGAAAATATATGCATGCTCATCACAAAAAAAAATAGAACAAACACAAATGACCCAAACTCTTAGCATTCAGAACATGACACTCTTTAAGCTTTTGTGTATTTCTTTATAGACTTTTCACACATGATTCTAACACTTTTATTTATGTGTAATTCACCTACTATACAATTTACCTATTTATTTTATTTTATTTTTAATATAACCATGGTTTTGTTACATATCAGTTTTATCATATTTATACAACATAGGATGTTCTGTATATTTCTGGTAGAATTTAATTTTTTTTTTGGTTTTCAGTCTTGAAAAATTCATTTATTAGGCATTCTGGTCCACTCCTATAATCCCAGCACTTGGGAGGCTGAGGCAGGAGGATCGTTGCAAGTTTGAGACCATCCTCAGCTACAAAGTAAGCCCAAGGCCAGCCTGAATCACTCAGAAAGACAAAAAAAGTCATTTATTTTCTATTAATACGTTTGCAATTCTTGTTTGTAATGCTTGCAATTTACAGTCACCTTGGGAGTAATTACCAGTACATATTACACCTTGTCTCTTTTTTAAAAATTCCCTTACTCCTCCCTTCTCCCCCCTCCTCTAATGGTTCCCCATTCCCCTTTTCCATACTTGTTGAAATTATTTATCTTTTTTTTTTTTGGTACTGGGGATCGAATTCACGACCTCACACTTGCCAGGCAGGCACTTATGCCACTGATCTTCCTGCCTCAACCTCCTGAGCACTGGGATTACAGGTGTGGGTCACCGCATCCAGCAGTCACTCATTTCAAGTGGTTCTTAGTATGTTCACAGTTGTACAACCCATTGCCACAATCAACTTGAGATTTTTGCCATTGTTCCCCAAGAAAAGCCTGGTACCCATTAGCAGCCTCATCCCTTTCCTTTTACTCCACTGCCTGTCTCCCCTAGTCAGCCACTGTTTTTCTCTTTATAGGATTGGTTATTCTGGACATTTCATGTAAATTAAATCATACGATATGTGGTGTTTTTGTGTCTGGCTCCTTCCATTTAGCATAATGACCTCAAGGTTCATCCATGTTGCAGCATGAATCAGAACTTCATTCTGTTTGACTAAAAATATTCTACTATATGGATATACTACATTTTACTTATTTACTAATGAGTTGGTGCACATTTAGGGTTTTCCAGCTTTTGGCCATTAGGACTAATGTTGCTATGACTGTTAAAAAAACTTTTGCATGGACATAATTTCATTTCACTTGAGTAGATCCGTTGGCTCATATGGTAATTCAGTCTCTACTTAATTCTACATCCTGAGTTTTTGGGGATAACATCGTGTTATGACTTTTGCTATGTCACTAAATATTCTCTAAAATATAATTCTAAATTGTGACATTATTGTATCATCCTAAGAGTGTCCTATATTTTTAACCATTCTCTTATTTTGTAATCTTCTAATTTTCTTTTGAGTTTGAAGAAAATTCTTACATAAACATCCTCCACATCTCTCATTTCCTTGTAGTTTTACAGAAGTAGAGTAAGTGACTAAAGTTATATTTTATTTTAGGACAGTTGTCAGATGGTTTCTAGGAGGTTGCATTAATTTTTTTCTGTAATTACTTCACAGTACTGTTACCCTTTGTATATTTAGTGATGATTATTTAGTATAAAATGAAGCACATGGAATTTGAAAAGATGGAGTCCCTGCCATCAGAATGTTTACAGTATGTTCACATTTAGACCAGACAGATGAATATAAATCTAGGGGTTTTATATAGACAGGGTACATTGTTTGGAAAGAAGAACACACCAGTTAGATAGAGTAAATATTTGCTGCCTATGATGAGATTCATGTAGACATAACCATCTAGCAACTTCTGCACTTAAAAGTTATTTTAAACAAAACTGGGGCTGGGAATTTAGCTCAGTGGCATAAGCGCCTGCCTTGCAAGCAGGCAGATGAGTTCGATCCCTGGTACCGATAAAAATGAAAAAGACAAAAAAAAAAAAAAAAAAAAAAAACAAAACAAAACTGCGGGAGCTGGGCTGAGACAGGAGGATCCAAAGTTCAAGCCCAGCCTGGGCAATTGAGTGACTTAGCCAGACCTTTTCTAAAAAAAAAAAACAAACAGTAGCCTGGGGGTGTAGCTCAGTGTGAAAGCCTGAGTTCAGTCTCTAGCTCTCAAAACCAAAACCAGAAACTACCCTGTATGAAAACCAGTTAGTCCAAAGTCATAAATCTTCTGGATTGTTTACCCTGTTGTTCAAAAGAGTCACATGGCCAAGGGGCTGGGGTTTAGCTCAGCGGCATAAGCGCCTGCCTTGCAAGCAGGCAGTCGTGAGTTCGATCCCTGGTACCAATAAAAACGAAAAAGACCAAAAAAAAAAAAAAAAAAAAGAGTCACATGGCCACACTGTACCACCCATTGACTTTTGGGGCCCACCACACCTACATTCAGCTGCTCCCCATCCTGTGCTTTCTTAATATTTCTTTAGATTCCTTGAGACATCTGCATCCTTCTTTCCTCTTGTTTTTTGCAGAAAAATAATGCAATCTCCTATTTTGTTTTATTTCATGTGCAGCAGAGTACCACTTCAAAGATATAAAATCAGCAAGTATTTCAGTTATATTGCTGAATATGAGGGAAAAAACAACCCAGCATTGCTCAGCATTACCACATTGATGCTGACACGGGCATGATTTCATCCCCAGCATGATCATCAAGTTCCACCCAAATGAACTGACTAATCTTGGTCTAGAAAGACATTGATTTATACAGTTGGAGATAGAAAAGTTAGAGCTGATCCTCCAAGTAAGCCTCTTTTAATATGCCAAAATGCTTTGTATACCATATTTTTCTTTAACTACTGGGAATGAAACTCCTGAGACTCTATCATTCCACTTCTCAGGTTCCATCTTGTGACACATCACATACATTTCCATTACATTACTCCTGCAGAAAACAGTGCGTAGGTAATGAGTAGAAAGTGCTCTTTCACTAGCCAGGGGCTGTGACTAGCAAAAGTGAGCCTAAGAAAACTGAAACTTCTTTGTTTCTCCGCAGCTGTAAAGATGTCTGACAGAAACCACATGGCTGCCAAAGCTTCCCTTATTGAGCAACTGCTGTCTAAAAGGAATTTTGAGGATCTTGGTGGCCATCTTACTGAGCTGGAAATGATTTGTATGACCAAGGAGCATCTCCAGGAGACAGATGTGGTCAGAGCTGTGTACAGAGTCCTCAAGAACTGCCCCTCGGTGGCTTTAAAAAAGAAAGCCAAGTGTTTGCTGTCAAAGTGGAAAGCTCTTTATAAGGACACTCACTTCAAAACAAGGGCTAGCTCTCAGTTATCCTCTCCAGGTCATAGTAGAGAAAAAACTGCAGAGATTTCTCATGACGTGAGTCAAGGTGAGATGGTGGACATCTGCTGTCGTGATTCTCTGCCCTCACCCCAAGATGTCACAACCCCCACCAAAATGATCACGCCTCAGAATAGCACTAACCACATGGATCCTAAGGAAGAGCATTTCGGGGGTGGTGACCCTAAACCCACTGGCAGTGGATCAGATGAATTGCAAGATCCCACGATGCCCACGAGAACCAAATGTATCGAGCTTCTTTATACAGCTTTGACTAGTTCTTTCACAGATCAGGCAAATGCTGATTTGTGGCAAAACTTCGCGAGAGAAATTGAAGAGTGCATTTTTGCCCTTTATTCAAAGAACATCAAAAAATATAAAACTTGTATCAGAAGTAAAGTTGCCAATTTGAAGAACCCCAGAAATTGTCACTTGCAACAAAACTTGCTCTCTGGGACCATCTCTCCAAAAGAATTTGCCGAGATGACCACAATGGACATGGCAAACAAGGAGCTAAAGCAGCTGAGAGCTGCCTTCACGGAGTCCTGTATCCAGGAACATTACCTTCCTCAAGTGATTGATGGCACACCGACAAATAAAATCAGATGCAGACGCTGTGAAAGATACAATTGCAAGGTCACTGTGATTGCCAGAGGGACACTTTTCCTTCCAAGTTGGGTGCGGAATTCAAACCCAGATGAGCAAATGATGACCTATGTGATTTGTAATGAATGCGGTGAACAGTGGTACCATAGCAAATGGGTATGCTTGTAATTGAAAACGGATGTTCCCTTAGGAACACATACCTTGAGAGGTAACTTGTATTTGTATAACCCTTTTGTGCTTGTTTAAAAAACTTAGATAGACCAGGGATATAGCTCAGGGGCACAGCGCCTGCCTGACAAGTGTGAGGTCATGAGTTCACTTCCTGGTACAAAAAAATTTAGATATACTGCTCTTTTTTTCCCTTGAAAAAGCATACTTTATGGAGGCCAGGGGTTTAGCTCAGCAGCGTGAGTGCCCTGGCAAGCGCAAAGTCATGAGTTCGATCCCCGGCACCAAAAAAAAGCATACTTTATTTTAGTGGCAAGCATTTTCATGAATATTAGTCATGGGGGCTGGGGATTTAGCTCAGCGGCATAAGCGCCTGCCTTGCAAGCAGGCAGTTGTGGGTTTGATCCCCGGTACTGATAAAAAGGAAAAAGACAAAAAAAAAAGAATATTAGTCATGATTAGGCTTGTAAGCAGAAGTTTTTCATATAACCTGGTTTTATTTTATGTCATATTTATGCAGAAGTATGTACGTAAAATTTCTTCAGGTTTCCTCAAAGTCCCTTACACTATTTAATGTCATATAACACTGTATTTATTTTTGTGGTACTGAGGATTGAACTGAGGATCTTTCCCTGAGTTACATGCCCAGCATTTTTTTTTTTATTTTGAGTCAGGGTCTTGATAAATTTTCCAGGCAGACTTCAAATTTGTGATTCTATTGCCTCAGCTTCCTGAATAGCTGGGATTATAGGCATGTACCTCTGCAAATATTTTGAAACTGTCTTTTGTTGTTGTTTTTGTTTTAAGACAAGGTCTTGCTATATAGTTTAGTTACGGCTGCCTTAAAATCACTGTATAGCCCAATCTGGAGTCAACTCCATACAATCTTCTTGTCTCAGGAATTACAGGTGTGCACCACCACTTCTGGCAAAACTTTTTTTGAAACAGGCTTTCACCAGGCTTGTCTTGAACTTACTTATGTAAGTTGGCTTCAAACTAACAACAATCCTCCTGCCTTAGCTTCCTGAGTGTGGGGAATCATAGGCATGTGCTACCATGCCCAGCTAAAACTGTCTTTCAATAAGGTAAACACAAATGCAAATCTGCTTGCCAAATACCTGTTTTCTAGGATAATTGTTTGATTTAGGATGCTGTTCTTCTTCATCCAGTTATCAGTTGCCTTGATTTTAATAATTGGCCTATTTATTTATTGAGGGGGTGAAACAGGGTCTCATTTTGTAGCATAGACTGGCCTCAGACTCATGGCGAACCTCCTGTCTCAGCTTCCTGAGTGCTGGGATTATAGGCATGTGCCACCATAATCTGCCACTGTAAAAGAGTAAAGTTTTGTCTTTTTACTTTTTGCCTATTCTGGACCTTCAAATGAACAAGCCAAGCATAGTATATACTGTATATATTTTGTCTAAGAGACCAACACAAGCAACTGCTATTCTGCCTCATCAATGAATGAGTACTGCAGTGCATTATTTGAAATTAAATCCAAATATTCTCACTTTTTGGTTCAGATATAGCTACCGGGAGAACTAAGCATCGCTTATCATCTACATTTCTTTATGCGTGATGAGAACCTTTCCAAATCACAGTGACACTTCTAGAACCCTTGCAGAGGAAGGCATTTTCCTAGAAAATGAATCATTTCCTTGGGGTACAGTATGGAAGCCCTGGATGAGACTAGATGTAGAACTTAGCTCTTAAGGCTAAGCTTTTAAAGCTGCCTCACCTTTAGCCATAACACCCAACTTTAACTAAAATCGAGGCAAAATATTCAACTGTTCACCTTGCACTGTTCACATCCTAAAGAAAAGGGCTCCTGCCTCTCCCAGTTTCTGACAGAAGTAGTAGAAGAGCCATTTCTTTGTACTGCCTCTTGGCAAGCTTCAGACATTTTTGGCAAACTGAATCTAGACTAGTGAAGCCCAGGCCCAATAAAAATCCTAAGCAGTTGCCTAAAGTTTGCGAATCAGACAAATGGACAGCCAGAAGAAACTAAAGAAACAGTAGGACTATTTTTGAAATAGGCAGGCACTGTCTTATAGAGGGTACTACTCGTACTCCTAAAGGTTTAGTGTTTTGTGATTGAGTTCTAGCAGTCATAAGCAAAGAGATGTTTTCCCAGAATAACAAGAATTTTCATAAATGATAGATATTAACTTTGCTCCTTTAGATACTTAAAAAACACAAAGTAACTATTTTCTATTTGATTTCTTTATTGAATTGTATTACAATACGGTTCACACTTCTAATTTGCTTTTCCTAAACTAGCTAGGATATCCTGATTACAAATGTAATATGGATAATTGTGATCTATCATCACCAAAACAAACAAAATCAAAGGAGTTTTATATTTTCCAGTAACATGACTACTTTAAAAGAAAGTTTACTTATTCACTTGAGAGGCTGAGGCAGGAAGATTTTGCAAGCAAGTTCAAGGCCAGCCTGAACTACATAGTGAGACTTTGTCTCAAAATCAAAAACAAAACAAAACAAAGGAAAGTTCAGTTATTGTGACATGTTGATTAGTGCACAAACATAAATTTTTTTGGTCAGAACTGGTAGCATATGGTGTCTGTCTTCCCCACAGTGCACTACTCCCTCTGCAAAAGGGAGTAAGTAAGACCACACAGCTACAAGTAGAAAGAATATTGTACTGGGCCTTCTCACAGACCTATTTGTAGAGTTTGGAACTAAATAAGCTGGACCTTCTGTGTCATTAGGACAGTGTCTTGTTTTGTGTAAAACTTTTTGAAAGAGACATTCTTCAGAAGCCCATTCCCTATCTTACCTGTCACCTGCAAACAACACTAGAGAAAATATTTTGGAAATACTTGTCAGTATGCTTTAAGTCCCTAGCTATAGCAGGTCCCAAATCTTTTTCCATGCTATGGCAGTGGTTGTTTGTCTGTTTTCTTTGGGGTGTTTTGTTTTTAAACAGGGCATCACCATGTAGTTCAGGCTGGCTTTGAACTTCTGGCAATCCTCCTACCTCAGTCCCCCAAGTGCTGCATGCCATACAGTTTTAAAATCAAACCAAAATGAAACTGAAAACAACCAGAAAAGGTCTTGAAATGCTGGGGGTGGAGGTCAGTGGTATAGCATGTACCATACACACAAAGCCCTGGTTTCAGTCCCTCGCCTAGGAGGACAAAAACAATAACAACAACAAAAAACAAACTCCCACAAAAACTGGTCTCTGGAGATTATGAAGTCTCCTTGTAAGGGACCTTAAAGTTCTAGGACAGACAGAGCTTTCAGTATTTCAGATATCTACATCATAATACACACATCCCGAGGCAGTCACCGGTGCCCTCACACATTGAAACCTTGAAGTTTAATCAGATGTCACACACAGGCAGAAAGCTTGTCTCTTATCTATATGAACATTTGCGCTTTGTCATGGTTTATGAATTATGGTCTTGACCAAATCTAGCATTTGTGATTGGTTCGTTGTCTAGCACTTGGATTGGTGGTGTGATGTTATAGCCACTTAGGATTGGAGCCAGGATACAATGTAATAGCAGGATGAATGTGTGTCTCTCTCTTGCGGCTTGTGCCTTGCTGTTTACAGCCGCCATGAAGGGCTTTTCTGCCATGCCATTTGGCCTTGGAGCCAACTGAGTATGGACTGAAACCTCCCATAACTCTAAGAAATAAACCTTTCCTTCCCTAACTTTGGCATTAGGTAATTTGTCCCAGTGACAAGTGAAAAGTTACTAAAGCACTCCTCTTCATTCCAGTCTTCATCCCTATGCAGTCCACACCTAGTCTGACAGCTAGTACCCTTTCCAGCTGGAATGTAGGGAGATAAGTAAAACAGGCCTAACCTGTGTTGGAAATGGGTAGCAAGATATCCTGAGGATGCTAAACAAAGCCAGAGTAGTCAGAAGATGTTCTGAGTACAAGGGTTCTTGAATCAAATTAGTGAGGACTCAGTAGGTGGAGGGTAAAAAAGGTACTTGTCAGTTTGCAAGTAAAGTCACAGGTGCTTTTTTTTTTTCTTATTTGGTACCAGGCATCGAACTCATGACCTTGCACTTGATAAGCAGGCACTTACACCACTGAGCTAAATCCCTGGCCCATCATGTTTTTTGTTTTGTTTTGTTTTCTTTCTTTCTTTCTTTCTTTCTTGTACCAAGAATCAAACTGAGGACCTTGCACTTGTCAGGCAGGTACTTATACCGCTGAGCTATATTCCCAGCCCACACAGATAAAGTTTCAGTCTCAGATAAAGAGGAAAAAAAAATGAACTCATGTAGCCAGAGGAAGCTAAGAGTCTTCTAGGGTCCAGCATTTGAGAAAGATACTCAGTTACTGTGCATTTCTGTTGCTTTTCCCTGGTAGAACATATGGCAGAGCCTTGGGCACTCACATGGCTGAAGCCAGGTTACTCTGATGCCCAATTAGTATGTTGCTAGCAGGACTGTTGGTGCCACAGAAGCTGGCTGTGCCTCAGACAAATGGGGAGCAGGTTCACTCTCACAAATTGTGTCTTCATTGCAAGGGAGGCATTGCCGTTGCTGTCAGCCAGAATCTCATCCAAGATTCCTGGTCTGGTTGACCATGTCTTGTTCAATACAACTCTTGTTGTCACATCTTGAGATATGATGACTGATTTTGGCCACAGGGACCTGATGGCAAGCATTGAAGGGACAAGTAGCCAATATGTTTGCAACATTAGGATGATTCTCTGCAGTTGATAAGTTAATAAGGAAACCTACAAGCCCTGATCTGGTGGTTTTTATCATAGGAACACTAATGGCTTTTTGGGGCCCAGGGAGTCAGGATAAGTGTTTTCCATGCTGAAAATATGGAGCTGATTTAGATTGCTGAGTGTTGCCATGCTCGCCCCACAGCTGCCTTCACCCCAGAGTCACCTTTGCCACAAAGCCTGCCTGGGCAATGCTCACTTCCAGTCCCTAGTGCCAGCCAGATACACGATTCTGAAGACAGTCGTGAGAAGAGGCAAAGAAAGTGTTTTGCTAATATGCCCACTGCCATCGGTGAAAGTTTGCCTTTGGGGAGAGAGAGTAGATGACTCTTCTCATTACGCTTTGTGGCCCTTTAGTACCATGCAGTACTCAGAGTGCAGCTGAGAGGAGCCTGTTAGAGGTGCAGGCTCGCAGGCTCCCTGCTACTGAATCTGAATCTGCCTTTTGGCACAATCCCTAGGCGATCCTTGAGGATATTCTGAGGAGCACTACTACTGCCTTAGCAGTAGGTCTGTGGTTCACAGAAGCAGCTACATATTAGCACCTTTCAGGCCAGGTGTGCTGGTGCCGTGCCTGTAATCTCAGCACTCGGAAGGCTGAGGCAGGAGGATCTCTGTGAGTTCCAGGCCAGCCTAAGCTATGTAGTCAGTTCAAGACTAGTCTGAACTACACAGCAAGAACCTGTCTTGAAAAAAAGGAAGAAGAAAAGAGAGGGAGGAAGGAGAAAAAGAAACCCTCTGGTGCTTAGAGCCCAGTTTAGAGCAACTCAGTGTAAACCTGTAGAATAGGGCACCAGCTTCAACATTGCTTTTGGCATTCCCTAAGGCATTTTCAGATGCACTCAAGAGTTTGAGAACGACTTATAAATAGGCTCTTGTTTGATCTTTTTTATTGCTCTAAGAAATGAGTGTTCATTGGACACTTTACAGATGAGGAAACAGGTTCACAGAGCTGCAGGGACACTTTACAGATGAGGAAATAGGTTCACAGAGTGGCAGGGACTTGCCCAAGCGAAATAGCCAGAAGTAGCCAAGCTCATCCTGATCCCTGATTGTTTTCCTCCACATTCAAAGCCTGGGGCTGGCTCAGTATTGATTTCTGAGAAAGGTACTCCTGGAGGTCGAGGACAGGATACACAATGTCTCCTGGTGACATCAGTGACCAGAGCTTTGCTCTTTCCCTCTCCATGTCGTGCATCTCCCCTGGATCATAACAGTAACCCTAGAACTCATCCTACAGTGAAAATTTGGCTCTTGCAGAGTTAGAAGAACTGTGTACTTTTTTCTCTCTTTGTGTGAGTTCTTCATAAACTGTGACATTTCATTTCTGATGCTAGGACTGTGTGTATCCTGAAAGGCTTGTTTTAAATCTGTAACTCAAATTGTGCTTTAGTACAAATGACAATAAATCTGTCAGAGGATGTCCTTCACCTCAGCCTTTGCATCTGCCAACATCTATTTATCTAGTAAACGAAGTGAAGATGTTTTATTGTTTTTTATAGTCATACAAAGTTACTTGTAGGTTACCTACAAACCTACACATTTTTATTCTTTACCAGTCTTTTCTCCTGACTCTCATCTTGTTATTGCAGTCTGAAGGCTTCTCCATAGGACGACTACCTCTCATGATACTTCCCCAAAAGGTACATAAAACTAAAATACGTTTAGGTTTGCAAATGACTGAAGAAATCAGCTTGAAGCCATCAAGTATAAATTCGAATTCTATTTTGATATCTTTTTTTCCTTGTGTGTGGCTTCCCTGGGCCACTAACTGTGATGCAAGATGTTAGTCCTTTAAACAGGAACTTGCAAAATCATCTAAAACTTAAACGTTTCAAAACTGTGGTTTCATATGACTTGGAATGATTCTAAAAACTATTCAGTGGTCATGAAAGAACACACACAGCACATGGAAAGCAAGTTTGATTAGTTCAAGTCACTGTGCTTTAGTTTTGGGTATGTGGGTAAGGAGTTATTTATATGAGAGTTTTGCAAACTAAACCTGCAGACAAATAAAGCACTTGAAATGGAAAATCCTGTATTTGCCACATAATAAAAACGTGTGAGGTCTTCCTCATTTCATGTCAACTTTTGTCATTGAGCTTTAGAGCAAGAGACAGCATGCCATTTTGTAAGTATAGATGATGTTCTTTCTGCACAATATCTTATTCCCCTAGAAAGAAAGGGTTGTACTTTTAAGTTGCTGGTTAGGTAGGCAAAGACTGTAATTTAAAATCACTCTTACAGGTATGAGAAGTACCAAAAGGCCCTCAAGCTTGGAGAGTGGCTGATACAATCAAAGGACAACAAGAGTGCACCACAGTTAAGGTACAATAAGCAAGAGGAAAGATAGGGATAACATCAAAGGGACCAGAGTTCACTAGGGCTCTGGTTGGTCACGATAAGTATCTAGCATTTTTTTTAAATGCTGGGAAGCCACTGAAGCTAGGGAGTCACAGTGGTGACAGTTCAGTGCCCTTTAGCAAGGATTGCTCTGCCTGTTAGGTTGAGTTAGGTTGTGAAACAAGGATGGATGTGGGGACATCAATTAGATGGCCATTGCAGTGGTTCAAATGTCACATAACTGGCTACAAATAAAGGTACAGGAAGCTGGTCTCTGCATCCTCAGAGCTGACAAAGCCCTTGGCAGTCTTATCAGTGGATGGTTCATGAAATACGCTCAATCCAAAATTCCCCACCTGTGGCCCATAATAATTTAAAACACACACGCACACACAATAGTGTAGAAATTCAGCACAACATAAGTAGAGCCTATAGCCTGGCTGCCATCGTTACTAGACAAGCAGAGTAATTGCAGAGGGCCTAAACCGGTTGCCACACCTGAATGTAGGAGGCCTTGCTTGATGAGTGTTACCTCGTCACTCTCCTTCGTGTGCATTACATTTTTTTAAAAACAGAGTTGGATACAATTGGAGTTCTGTGTCCTCCCTGGGCTCTCCCTGTGATGAGAGGCTCCTTTCATTCCCCATTGCTGCTTCTAAGTGCCAGGCAGGAAGCCTGCAGCTGGCGGGGCTCCACTGCTTTTGCAAGGGCTGGGCCTTTATACTTCAGGTCAGGCTGCTTTATTATTCATAACTTACAGTAAATGCAAAATGTTTTACCAAAACAGGTATTTTTGCATCCTCAGAGGTAACTTATTATAAATACCGATGCTATAAAAGGCCCCTTCTTGCTTTCAGAAAAATCCCATGAATTGCAATAGTGCTTAAAATTAGGTTTCCAGAGATGTTCCCACCTTCTTGAGCCTTTATGTGGCATCTGTGTAATTTAGCTGGTTTTCTAAAAAGTAATTTTTAAGATATTTACATTTTAAAATCTGAGAACATGGAGGCTTTGTTTGAGACAAAGTCTCATTATGTAGTTCAGGCTATTGAATGCACTATATAGCCCAGGCTGACTTAGAACCTGTGGCAATCCTCCTGCCTCAGCCTCCTGGGTTCTGGGATTACAGGTGTGTGCCACCATACCCGGCTTAGAACATGAGACATCTTAAGGGACATTTACGTGTTTATATTTTTACAAATTTTAAAAATATAAATGTGATTATAAAAATGCAGTTTCAAATTCCATTTTCTAAAAATATAAGGCCTTTCTGTGTTTATGATCTGTGTAATATGACCTAGGGAAGTAATAATTCTGACAGCATAGCAAACTATTTTGCATTCTTTGTTAAAGAATCATAAGTGGCCTACAGGATGGAGAGTCTAGAGTTAAAATAAATTTGTTGGATATGTTCCTGCTTTCAAAGTGTAAATGAGGTACAGTAGGAATAGGGTCTAAGTAGTCATTAATATTTTTCCAAAGATGACACTTTGTTTTTTAAAGAATCCAAAACGGGCTGGAGATTTAGCTCAGCGGCATAAGTACCTGCCTTGCAAGCAGGCAGTCGTGAGTTCGATCCCTGGTACCAATAAAAAGGAAAAAAACCAAAAAAAAAAAAAAATATATATATATATATATATATATATATATATATATATATATATATATATGTATATAAAAAGAATCCAAAACAGCCATTGAAAAGTAACAGAATTAAGAAGAGAGTTAAAATATTCATTCAAAAGCTTCTTTACAGTCAGGCATGATAGCACATTCCCCAGTGATGCCAGTAATCCCAGCCCTCAGGAAGCTGATGCAGGAAAATTGTGAATTCAAGGCCAGCTTGAGTTACACAGCAAACCCTGTCTCAAAGCCAACAAAAACCTTCTTTACCTGTTATTCCTGGAATAGATTCACTTCTGAAATATAAACATAAGCACTGAAGCTCCCCAGAAGCTGCTTTTAAGTCCCTTGAATGGTATTAAAATTCATGTTTGTAGACTAAAACAGAAAATTAGAAAATTTCCAGGAGCACCAGGGAGGCCCCGAGTCATCTGGCTGGATTCCACCTAGCATCTCTCTCTGTGAAGGACACAGAACTGCAAAACCCTTTCCAGTTTTCCTTCCCAGCCCCAGCATGCCGAGTTTCCACTGTAGCTCCCACCCATGGCACGTGAACACGTGTGCATCTCCATGGAGAGCAACTGAAGTCGCCACCCACCCGTGTCTACCAGCAAAGGCCTTGATGGTTGAGTGGACTGTGGTTTGGCAGGGATGAGGCCACCACGTTGGTTCGTCTTTTCTGGGCTTTCATGTATTTTCCCACTGAGAATTTCTGATTTCTGTGGATTTGTTTTCATTCAACAAATGGATTCTTGCTTCGTGAAATAGCTAAGCATAGAGTTTCTACTCATTTTAGTGGATATTTACCCCATTTTAATGGAGATTATCATTTTAAAAAAACGAATGATTAAAGGGTACAGGGGTTCTTTGGGAGGGTGCTAAAATATCTAGAGTTGGCTGTAATTATTGGGTTGATCAGGGTTGATCAGTGGATACTAAATTATAGGTGATAGGAATAAGAAGTCCTATGTGCTATTGTCCACTGGAGTGACTATAGATAGTGACTGTGTACAGTTTACCTCAAAAGCTAGGAGAAAAGATTTGGAATGTTCTTTCCATAAGCATTTGAGGAGATCATATATTTAACCTGACAACATATGCATGTATTGAAACCTTCCATGATACTCCATTGGCATGCACAGTCTTGTTTTCTTATATGTCCATATTGAACACACAAAGCCCTGAATTCAATCCATGGCACCAACAAGAAATAATTAAAAATTTAAAACAATCAATTGTGATGGGCACACACCAGACTAAGCTACACATCATTGAATTATATGCTTTGAAAGGTGAATTATATGGTATGTGAGCTGTGTTTCAATAAAGCCGTTACTGCAAAACCAGATGAACTGAGAGAGGGAATTGGAGACAGGGTCTCTCTTGGATATTTATCTCAGTGAGTCACTGAACCTCTCCTGCTTCTCAAGCCGCAGAGCTGAGCTGAGCTGCCAATGACAATAAGCCCATGGAAAACAGTCCCTTAAGAATCCCTGCAAGCATTTGGCGGTTCTGCTGCTGCTTAGATCTGTACCCAGCCAGGAAACTTGCAGGGCTTGAAGATGAAATCAGCCAATGCTCTAGCTCCTCGGTGAGAGGCTGGATTGGGGGCGCTCTATTAACTGGTTGGGAGCAAATAGAGAATCCTGGCTCCATCCCAGACTTTTGAATTGGAAGCTACATTTTCATAGTACTTCCCGCGTGTATGAACCTTTGTGAAATGCTGACCCATCCAAAGTAGCTAGGCTTGTAAATTCTGCCTTCCTGTTTTTACCTTTAGATGAAATGCCTGAGTTCCTCACTAACACTGTCATTTCTGTCTAGGTCGCCAGTGGCCTCTACCCTTCACCTTGCTAAATTTATGCCCACTTCAGCAGCATTTGACACACTGGCCTCCCTTTCTTTTTCTTTTTCATTTTTCTTTTTCTTCTTTTCTTTTCTTTTTCTTTCCTTTCCTTTATTCTTTCTTTCTTTCTTGATAGTTGGGATCAAGCCCAGGGCCTTTTCACTGACTTACACATTGCTAGCTCTCTTTTTATTTCTTTTTTTATTCTTATTTTATGATTTAGACAGAGTCTTGCTGAGTTGCTCAGGCTGGTGTTGAACTTTCAATCCTCCTGCTTCAGCCTCCTGAGTAGCTGAGATTATAAATGTGCATCACCACACCTGGTTGGCAACAGTTTTTCTTGAAAATGCTTTTGCTTGGGACTTGCAGTCAGTTATTCTGTCCCTGGTTTTCCCTCTCATGGACCACTGGCCTCGCCATCTCAGTATTATTTCCTGGTTTCTCTTAACTTCCCTGACGTTTTAGCTTTGGAGTATCCCAGATTTTAGCCCTTGGAACAGCTCTATATGTAGCCCTACTTTGGTGATTTTATCAAGTTCCACACTTCCTAAACCATCTATATGCTGCTGGTACCCCTAATTATCTGCAGCTTGCATTACCCCCTTTTGCTCTGAAATTTATTGTCAGTTTATTGTCAGTTGACAACTCTACTTAAATGTACAATAAACATCTTAACATGTTTAAATCATTCCCAATTTTCTCTCCAGTATCTGTTTCTCCACTTAGCGGTGCCCCATCCTTGTGTGACTTGAAATAGCAACCTCCAGTAAAGAGTGTTTTGCCTCTTTTTCTCCCACAGCACCCTACTATTGACCATCTCCATTTCAAATATATATTCAGAAGCCCAAGTTAGAAGTGGACAAAAGAGTTGCATACCACTTCACCAAAGATACAGGAATAACCACAACCTATGTGAAAAGATGAGTGACATCATTAATCTTTAGGGAAATGCAAATCAAAATGAGACACTAGTTCAAAAGGTTGGCAAGGATGTAGAAAATAACCCGTGTTCATTGCTCATTGGAATGTAAAATTTGTTGTTGTTATTGTTGTTTTTGTACCACAGATTGAACTCACTACCTCACGTTTGCCAAGCAGGCACTTATGCTGCTGAGCTAACCCTCTGGCCTGGGAATGTAAAATGTTAACAGCCATTTTGATAACAATTTGGAAGTGTTTAAGAAGTTAAGCAAATTTACCATACAACACAGAAATTCCACATCTTGGTATGCACATGAAAGAAAAGAAAATGTGCATCTACACAAAGATCAACTCGAGTGAGCATTCATAGCAACAGCATTCATAATAGCCAAAAATATAAACAGTTCAAATGTCCATTTTCTGGGGACTGGTTAAACAAGAGATGGTATATTCATTCAAAGAAATACCATTCAGTATAAAAGGAAGGAAACATTGATATATATGCTACAGCATGGGTGACCTTTGGAATCATTTGTTAAGCAAGGAAAGACAGTCACAGACCACGTTGCCCGGAGTCCAGCTCTGAGGAATGTCCAGAATAGAAACGTCCATAGAGAGGGAGAGTATATTCATGATTACCTGGGGCTAAGGCTGGGGCTGGGAACTGGCAGTGAGCAGAGATGAGTGCAAAGGGTACCACTGCTGTGACAGAAAACTTTCAAAATCAGATGTGCTGGTAGCTGGACTACTCTGTAGATCTGTTGAAAAAAATACTGAATTGCATTTAACAGGAGAATTTATGGTGGGTAAATTATGCCTCAATGACACTATAAAATATAGTCATGGGACTTACATTGTAGCTCAGTAGTAGGGTGTGTGTTTAGCCTGTGCAAGGTCCTGGGTTTGATCCCCAGCCCAGGAAAACAACCAACCATCCAGAGTCTGACCATGGTTATGTTCTCTATTGCTGTCCTGGACCTAGGCCAGCATCACCTCCACCCAGGTGGCTGTCACCTGGATGACTAATTGTTACACACATATAGCCTGCTAAGAGGCTGTCTGACTACCACTCTTGTGCCCTAGTTATATTTACAACATAAGAGACAAAGTGATCCTGGGACACAGGCAAATCAGACATGTATGCTTCTGCTCAAACTCTCGGTTGACTCCTGTCTCCAAGAGAAAGTCAAAATTTACAGTGGCCTTCCAGGGCTCACTAATATGTGCTATTGCCTTGCCTCCTTCTTCCCCACTTACTATAGACTAAACCTAGTCACTGTAGCCTCCTTGTGCTCTTTTACTGTGCCAGCCACACTCCTGTCACAGGGCCTTTGCACTAGCTGTTGCATTTGCTTAAATACTATTACATCAGCTTCCTAATAACTTACCTCTCTGGAGTTCTAACTTAGGTATTATCTGGACGCTAGGCTTTCTCTGGTCATTTCCCATATTCTTGAGCACCCCTTCTGATTTTTTTCAAAGAACTTATTTACCATTTAAATAAAATGCCTTGATTATTTATATTGATTATTGTCTGTCTCCTTTAAGTTATAAACTCCATAGTGTAGAAATCCCCATTTTTGTCCTCGCTGTGGTCTGAGAACTTTATATTTGTAATCCTAAGGAAATGTTATTGGAAGCTCAATGAGTGAATTTCAATCTGCCACCTCCAGTGTGATCCAAGGCAAGAATAAATATACTAAGACATGAGCAGCTAATGTGTCCTGAGTCTGGTCCAGACAAGGGTCCACAGAACAAAGGCCTTGACCTAGGATCTCACCCAGAATTTAATAATTCGTGAAGGACAAGGCTGGAGGATGAGTGATGGTGACAATGGCAGGAAATAGTGAGGTAATGTGAGCTGAGCTAGCTGGGTGGCCAGAAAGCACCTCTGTGGTATGTAAAGAGAATGTTATGCAGAAAGCTTAATCTGCATAACACAGTTGAGATAGCATTTAACATTTAGGTTTCAGTGCTTCAGTTCTGATTGCAAATTTTTTCTGCCCTGGGAAGTCATAGCGTCTTATCTTGAGGCTCAAACCCAATTGACATTCCTGGAGCATTTGCTCTACCACCCTGCTGTGCTCAACCTTTTAGAGATACCAAAAATACCAAGGGAACAGACTTGTCACTTAGCAACAGAGATTACACATCAGTACCTCAGGTAGCAGTATTTACATTCCTTAGAGCTACTTGGAGGGAAAAGAAAATAGCTCAGCCAGCTCTGTACATGGAGACAGGACCCGGTTTAGCTAAAGAGGTGGTAATTGCTCTGTATTCAAGGAGAGAGGTCCACATGGTCGTCTATGCAGAGGGTCGAAGATGTTTTGTTATTCATGGTTTTAGTCCCAGCTGCTAGAATATTTCCTCATATACAGAAAACCTTCAAATGTTTGTTGTTCATTTAAGAGAGCTAGAAGTGCGAAAAACATAGCAAAACATTGTACGTTTGGAGCTGGGGATTTAGCTCAGCGACATAAGCACCTGCCTTGCAAGCAGGCAGTCATTAGTTCGATCCCCGGTACCGATAAACAGGAAAAAGATAAAAAAAAAAAAAAAAAAAAAAAAACAAAAACAAAAACAAAAAAACATTGTACATTTATGTAAAGGACTGAAAACAAATTTTAAAAGAGTGATTATAGTTCGTGGCAGGCAAAACAATTTAAGGGTGGGATGAAAGAGAACTGGAAAAGAATCCCTTTTGCTTTCCATATAGGAAATTTGAGTAAGGATCACAAGGAGTTTTAGGCCATGCATTTTCACACTAATTTAAAGCTAATTGTGCTGTTGTATCTGTTAGGTCTGAGAATGGGAGGAAGAGAGGGAAGGATTGGCTGGCGGTGGCTGAAAAGATAAGAGGTATAAAATATAAGTAACCTTTATTTTGGGAATGCAGGGGAGAGACCCCCAACTCCCTGGGGCACAGCATCTCCACCCCGGGGTCGGCGATCTCTCCCTGGAACACTCTGAAACACGTGGAGTGAGGCCCATAAGTAGCCTCGGTCTGGGGTGGACCCTAAGGGGTATTAGGGATGCACAGGTATTTCATTGGCACACGTTTGGCGCCAGAGGTAGGTTACTAAGCGCAGGGGTATAGGGTTACAGGTAAATCTCTAGGGGCGGGGGAGGCAGGAGCTCCCTAATTCCGGCTGAGGCTTTTCCTGGCTAAAGTGTCCAGTCTGGGCCAGCAACCCTTTCAGTATCATAATCGCTCTTGCTTAAGTGCTGTTGTCCATTTTAGTGTTTGGTAGAAACTGTCACAGAAATGTCACAGAAAGGAGAGAAAAACTAAGATTCTAGGGCTGAAAACATAGCTCAGTGACAGAGTAATTGCCTGACACGCACAACGCCTGGTGTTCAGTCCCAGCACCACTGAACAAGTCAATAAATGAAATTCTGTTTGTTCATTGTTTGACTTACCAGAAGCCCCTGAAAGTGTTTAATAAAGGATATAGTGGGGAGAGTTTCCTGAGCTGACCCCCTTTGGTGATTTGGTTGACTTAGTTATCCATTAGCATATATTACAGGGTATATGTGACTGACTATTTGCAATTTCAGGAGTGATTCTTTGAGAAGAATTTTCCTCAAGTTATATATACACAAACATCATTTTGCAACTTATGACTTTTTATATTTGTATACACTGATTTATTATTATAATTCAAGGGTTTCTAGTATGTCCCCAAGTTGTACAACTCTCACTATTATCTTCATTCTGGAATTTCTTCATACTCCCAAGAAACCCTTTTCTCTCCCACTCCAGCCTCTGGCAACCACTGCACCTCTACCCTCTGTCTCTGTGCATGTGCATATCTTGAACCCTGCATAGAAATGGAGTCACGGGGCTGGGGATTTAGCTCAGCGGCATAAGCGCCTGCCTTGCAAGCAGGCAGTCGTGAGTTCAATCCCTGGTACCGATAAAAAGGAAAAAGACAAAAAAAAAAAAAAAAAAGAAATGGAGTCACACAATATATGACCTTTTAATGTATGGCTTTGTTCACATGAGTGTTTAAAAAAAACTCCAGAATTAAACCATATTTTACTAACCAAAAGAATTGTGCTGACCTTTGGCTAAAGTACCTTTTAACTGAATTTCCATAAATCATTTAACATTTGTGTCTGTTACAATTATACTCCTTCAGACTTCTGTGTCAAGAATTATTTTTTATCGGGGCTGGGGGTTTAGCTCAGCGGCATAAGCACCTGCCTTGCAAGCAGGCGGTCGTGAGTTCAATCCCCGGTACTGATAAAAATGAAAAAGACAAAAAAAAAAAAAAAAAAAGAATTATTTTTTATCAACCACATGTAAAAGGACAATTTGAAAGGAAGATACCCATTCTTCTTGTGTACAAGATAAACGCCATAGTAAGTAAGGATACTTTCCATATACATACTTTGTTTCTTTTTTTTGGCAGTAGGGGTTGAACCCAAGGCCTTCGCAATGAGCTAAATCCCCAGCCTTTTAAAATTTTATCTTAAGAAAGGATCTTTCTAAAACAGTAATTTACCCAAGCTTGGCTTGAATGTTTGATTCTCCTGCCTGAGCCTCAGGGAATGCTGGGGTCACAGGATCACAGGGGTGTGTCGCCATGCCTGGCTTTCCCCTGTTTGATTTTATTTTTTAATTACTTGGCAAAGAACTATTTGACAAAATTGTATTGTATTTGGTAAAGACTAAAATAGGAATTCTTAGCAAGCTAGATCCCCCTGTCCACTGTAATCTTTCCTTCCAAATACACATACTCTCTGGTATAAAATTATATGAAATATGTGG